CAATGTTTTAATTTAATAAAATTTTGAGATTTAAATCTTCAAAATGTATAAAATAATTCAGGATTTAATTATTAAATTATGCTTCATTTTAGATTTAAAATCTCTGTCTTATTATTATTTTTTTATATTTTATAATGAAATATAATGATAAAGTTAAAAATAATATATATTAAATTGAGAATTCGAAATTTAAACTCAAATTTTTTATTTAAAATATATTTTATTTACGTTACATTTACATTTATGGGTATGGGAAAAAAGTTAAAAATTATGGTTGGTTGGTTAGAAAAGGAGACTTCTTCATAAATTTAAATTAAATTGAAAAGAAAAATAAATAGTAAAATATTTGGAAGTGAAGCCAATGCCGAGTTGGTTAGCCCAACCCAACTCCCTCTACTTACTTCTTTCTCTAAATTCCAATTTTGCCCCTTTTTTTTTTATTTCTCGATTATCATCTACCCTTCTTATCGGTAATTGAAATGTATTAATTTTATTAATATCGAACGTTTAAATTTTGGTGCCTCATATTTTAAATTTGGTCGTTATAATGGTTTATTTATCCAATTCGAACGTGATTAATTAAAGTGTCAACATGAACATAACTCAATGATAATTGATATCCGTCTGAATTTTTTATTAGTACGATGTACGATGTGAGATAATGAGTATGGAAGTTTAAAGGATTGTTAATAAGTCACTCATTACTAATTTTAGAAGAAATATATTTTGATCTCTAATTATTGTATTTATATAAAATATTAATATAATTTAAAAAATTATAGGGTTAAATTTGTAATTTAACAGGCACACGTGTGGAAACGTGCACAAATCAAGGTGAAACTTCTCTCGTCTTTAAAAACAAAAAAGGAAATAAAAACGACGACGTTTGAATGTGTAAAAAAAGTAACGGTTTTATGTAAATAAAAATATGAAAAATGATTTTTTTGGGACCTTAATTTATTTATTTTATTCCCTTAATCTCCCTCTTCCCTCTCCGCGTAACTATATATTTAGTTGAGTTACAGGTTAGACATTGGAGCTCAACTCTCTCTCTCTCTCTCTCTCATCAAGTCTCTGAATCTAGAGAGAGAAACAAAAACTGAAACCTCTATCTCTCTCTGTCTTTCACTTCCATGGCTGCCGAGGAACTTCGTGTAGAAGAAGCAATGCCATGGCTTCCTAGTCAAGTTCTTGACGAGGCTTGCGATATCAAGGTTTTTCTCTACTTCTACTTCTCTCAAGTCCTCGACTAATATTTTTTTTTTTTCCGTTCTGTTTTCTGTTTGTTTACGTTCCGTGTTAATTTTTCTTTGCCGCTTCTTTTTTATGATCATCAGGTGTATATGAGGCAACACCACCACAAACAACAACCGTACTTCCTCCAGCGGCAACGGCACCACGATCGTCCTCTGTTATCGTCTTCTGATTTCGCTCTTTCATCGGTACGGTACTGTTACAGTTTGATCGCGATTTTAATTTCTTCACGCACTAGGTTACGATTTCGATTGTGTTCTTGATTTTGTTGTTTTTGATTCGGTGAAATTGAATTAGAATCAGAAATCGAAGTTCAGTAATGTCTCTTCTCTGCCGCACCAGAGGCAAAAACCAGCGGTTTCCGCGGCGAATTGGACGGCTGGAGGACATGGAATGCAAGCAATCTTCCTCGATTGCGGGCGGCAATTAGGCGGCACCGGCGTTTTTCTTCCTCGAGGAACGGGCGGCACCAATTACCAACCAAACAAGAAGCCAGGTACGATTCCGATTAATCTTTTAATTAATCAATAATGATTCCAATGAGATATTAAAAAATGAAAAAACAAAAACAAGGAAGAATTCTGTATTCGTGCGTACCCGTTTCTGCTTCTCTCTCTCTGTTTTCAATCAATTAATGGAAAAACGAGGAAGAAGAAACAGAGAGAGAAAGGAATTTGCCTCTAGATTCCTCGTTTTAATTAATATAACTAGAATTTTATTGTTCATATTGAATTAAAAATGAGATTCTGGGAACTACATGTCATAATCAAATGAAAATTAACTAATTGTAAATATAATATATATTATTTGAATGTCATCTTAGGAACCTCTAATTCTCAATTGATTATGAATCCTTATAAATATTTAAGATATTCGGTCTTAAAATTCGGCTTCCACAATATTAGACCAAAATTTTATGTTTATCTAATAAATTTTACATTACCTTATATTTGTGTGATTATGAAATTTGATTGAACTATGAAATTTGACTCGTATTCAGTCTAAATTGAGTATTATTTAAATTATTCTTATTCTTTTGTTGTCATTATCAACTACTCTGTGTTTATCTAATCCAATCTCAAATTCACTATTAGTTTGCTATCGTATTAAATAAGAATATATACTAAATAAATATTAAATGAGAATATAATACAGGTTGTTTACGAAACTAAAATAATTACTAGTGGAAATAATAGTTACCATAAAAATGATTTTGTATTAGATATATGTCAACAAATTCTTACTATCTAAGGTCATATTAATGTTTTTTTTATAGATTTAGGATTTAGGACATGTTTAGAAAGTTGCTTTTAAAATAGGTTTTGTTAGGGATTAAATTAATTAAAATACCTTTGAAGGATTTAGATAAAATTCCAAAATACCCTTAAATTTAAAATAATAATAATAATAAATGTTAAAAAAACACTTAATATGATTTTAAAAATACTCTTTTTTAACTTTTAAAACTATTTAAAAAATACCATTATTTTTTTTTAATACTTAAAAGACGTCTTTAAGATTTTCTAAAAAATTAAAAAATATTCTACTAATGAATTTAAAATAATAATAATAATAATAAAATAATCTATGAAGTATAAAAAAAAAAAAAAAAAAAAAAAAAAAAAAAAAAAAAATCAAACATTTTTTTTTAATAAATGTAAAGAGAGTTAATAATAATGTTAAAAGTATTTTTTAAATACAGTATTGTATTATTTTATTTTAAATTTAAAAGTATTTTTAAAGTTTTTAAACCAAATAGTAATAGCTTTGTGTAATTCTTTTTTATTTTTTTTTTAAGTTCAAAGATATGGTTGAAATTTTCAAAGTTTATATGTATTTTTTAGAGAATCTAAAAAAGTTTAGAGATATTTTTGTTAATTTGCCGATAAATTAGAACATAAATTTAAATATTTTCTAAACCTTTAATTTATTCATTTTTGGAAGTTTATTGTGTTTTTTACTGGAAAACATTGATATACACGTTAATATGTTGCATCTTTTTTTAGTAGGTAAAATCTAATACAAAATTTTCGTTATAAATTATTCAGATAATTATTTGTTAAAACTTTATGTCTTATTGTATAAGGACAAATAATAAGATTCCTAATTTTAGATTGAAAATGGTAAAATTATTTGCAGCTTGCTCCATGGTTCTGGTCCCTGCTCGTGTTGTTCAAGCTCTTAATCTCGATGTGCAAGCACTAGGACTAGGACTGCAAATTTCACCCCGCAAAGGTATGCTCATGTATTTTCTAAATTCCTATTACATGTAAACTAGATGGTACGTTTAAAACACTTTTAAAAGTTTGAGAATGTTTTTAAATAAAATATCAACGGTTTCTAAGAACTTTTTAAAATGGTGAAGGGTATTTTTGGTATTATCGAAAATTTAGTAATATTTTATTTTATAGTTAATGTTCAAATTTTCAGTATTTTTTATAATTAATTTAAATATTCTTATTCTAAAATATTTTATTAACCAAAAATGATTTGGTGTGACTTATTACAGATCCCAAAATCAATAAAAATGGTAGAGAATGCAACTCGATGGTAAAAAATAAGAAGGGCAAAGATGTAAACTGCTCCTTCGTGTCCCGAAATCAAGCCCATTCATCCCAAGAGATATTCCTTCCAAAAGAATGGACCTATTAATATCCAAATTACTCACATATTTGTACATTTCAATAATGTCATATTGCAGTGTTCGTAAAAGTTATACGACGAATCAAATATCGTTTTATCATTTTTTTTTAATCGTTTTAAAAGTTTTTTTTTTTAGTTCACCAATTGGATGTGTAAAAATCGAACAATCAACCTTTAAGACAATTATTCAGTAATTTATGCATTGATCTATGTTCAAATTGACGTTTTTTTTATCAAATGTTATGTATATGCAGTCTCTGTCGACTTTTAGATGTTTGTTTCAGAAAAAAAAAGTTCGATCGCTTGTTATTTTATTATGATTGAGCTTGAACTTGCAAATATGAATACTAGAGACGATGAATATTCATACTCAAGATAATTCAAGTTGAAAATAATTAAAATTATCTAAAAATAGACAATACTCAGATCATTTAAGTTGAGGATAATTAGAACTATATAAAAATATGTTATAAGGTGAATATCAATTGTAAACATTCTTTAAAAGATGTCGATACAAACTAACTGGTTTTAAATTTAAAAAAATTGTCCGTCGTGTCTACGAGTGCTATAACAATCTCGGGAGAGAAGCGAATTGAATATCGGTGTTAATGACAAAAAAAAAAAAAAAAAAAAAAAAAAANACTGGTTTTAAATTTAAAAAAATTGTCCGTCGTGTCTACGAGTGCTATAACAATCTCGGGAGAGAAGCGAATTGAATATCGGTGTTAATGACAAAAAAAAAAAAAAAAAAAAAACTAAACATTTTAACATTTTATTAAATTATTTAACTAATTTTATCATGAATTAATTGACTAAAATTTTTAAAAAATTGAATAATAAATTTATTTATGATATCTATATATTTTATAATTTAAGGAAATATAATTCTACATCGTCTCTGTTATATATTGTAATTTCTTTTAATAACTGATAAAAAAAACTTTATTACGCACTAAATATTTGTTTTAATTATTTTTATTATTTTTAGTGTAGTTCGATTTCACAATATTAAATGAAAGAAATTCTAGATGAAAAAAGAAAAAAAATATTGTTTTTATAATTTTTATTTTAAAAAACATATACGTATAAAACGCTGTCGTATCATGTTCCCTCTACTTCACCTTTCCCGTCCCATTTTTCAATTCAAATATACAAACACATCCCTCGCAAAACAGCTTTCCCTCTCTCTCTCTCTCGCCGGAATGGAGGGAGAAGGTACCTCAGAGATGGAGTATACGGAGATCGAATCCTCCGCCGATTACTTCGACAGCTCTCTACTGTTTAATATCATCAACGATGTCTCCGCCTTCGTCTTGTACATGCACCAACAAGTCCCTTCGTAAGTTACTCCTTCCAATTCCAACGTATTTTCCGTTTGTTAACTTCGAAACTGCTGGAAACGGGGGCAAAATCCATTCAGGTTCGATTCCCAATGGAAATTGTGTGATCGATGTTACGTTTAGTTCAACCTTGGCGCTTATGACTATGATCGATACTTTTGGTTTGTTAAGTTTTGAGTCGATTGTAGTTGCTGCCTGATTTATGCACGTGGTTGGACTTGATTACCTCAGTCACTCTATTTGAAATTGTTCCTTGTGAGTTTGGGGGAGGAAAATTAAGGATTCTAGGAGCAATCAGATTTGTTCGATTCGAAATTTACTGAGGCTTTCGCTCTGTAAGATTTGGGAAATTTTAATGCTCATTTTTGGTATGTTGAAATTTTCAACCTGTATCTATTCTAAATGTCATATAATATTAATGATTCGTTTTAGGATTTGTAAATTGCTGAGATGATCGTTTAAAAATGTGTTCCGGATGGAATCGTGAATAGAAAAATGCTAACGTGTCCTTCAGGTCAAGGTTCAAATCTCGGTGCCCAAAAAATGATGAATAGAAGAATGAATGTTGTGGGCTAACAGAACATTTATTTTACCAAACATTGCTTAATTTGTTCTTTTTATCTGTTTTGTATCTCTTCTATGATTTTTGCATCAGTGTCGTATGGCCTGTGATGCAATGTTTTTTGATTTTTTCTTTCCTAGTATTACAAAAAGCCCTTGCAAGAACACCTTTATAAAGTAAATATTGCGGATGATATGTTCTTGAGAAAGAACTCTTGGAGAAAGCTTTAAAAGAATTAAAATATTTTCTTTTGTATTGAAAATACTGTGTCAGTGACTTTATATAGAGGCCAACTGTTAATTACAAGACTGATTAGTTCAAGCATAAGTAACTACAACAACAAACCAGATGAACAGAAGCTAATTAACTAAACAGAAACAGACCAATGGAACAGAAAATAATCGCTACTAATGGTTCTCCTTAACAGTGGAGAAAAGGGTCACCCATTAAAGAAACGAACATACGTAGCTTTTGTTATTTTGAGACTGAAAATCAGTATGCGAGAACACATTTTAGTCTTTGAAATAAAATGTAATCTACATTTTAAATGTACATGTACACAGAGTTAAAAACTTCTCTTTTCAGTTTCAATAGACATTGGTTTTCTGATTCAATCTTCAGTAGATCACTTATATCTAGGAAGTCAAAAGTTCATAAATTTTATACATCCCCTACTCTGGCTCCTCCTCCATTTTGCTATACCCTAGAATTATATGATTTACAAGGATTTAACATTGTATGAGATATCTATTTGGTATGCTTGTACCATAAGCACTGATGTCTGGTGGCTTATGTGCAGAATCCTACAGGACATGAGCATTGAATTTGACACCTTGCATGAAGAATACAAAGAGCTGGTATGTTAGCTGAGAAAGGGTAGTTTTCTTTACACTTTTTTGCATCAATCTGAGGATCATAAGAACGGTTATTTTTAGGGAAGTGAATTGGCACAGAATGAACTAAAAGCATCGTCACGAAGAAAGCATACTGGCAGAATGAGGGAGGTCAGACAGGGAATTAAGAGAATGGAGAAGTTAATGAATTCAGTCTCTGGGTTTCAAGCTGCCATCAAATCGTTGATTAGTGAGACTCCTAACGTCCAGGAAGTACTATTAATTCTTGGAGCAACCCCACTGCGGCCGCAATATGTTTATGAGCTGTGCTTTTCACATAAAAATGCTGTGGTAAGAGGTGCAGATTACTTCGTCAAGCACAAAGCAGCAGAAGTTCTTTCAAGAAAGGTGCGTGTGAATTGTAGTACTTTTCCTAAATTTTTTCAGTATTTGATTCAAGTTTTGTTGTTAATAGCAGGCTATTCGAACATTAATCTCAAAGGATGCTGGGTCTGCCTCATATCCAGGTACACAGTTGTGCACGTTAACGCAAATTGATCAAGTTGGGAGAAGAATGCTCATCCTTGAAATTTTCTCATTAAGAAATGATGACATATTCTTCTAGGCCCTACTAAGTTGTTTCTATTGGTGAAGGCCCCTTCCTCTATCAATCTGCCCTTGCACTTCATTCCAAAACGTGAATTCCGGTATAGCAAAAAGGTAACCGTTGGACGTTTTTGCTTTTATTTTCATATGAGGATACTAATGAGATCATCTTGGAAGTTCTGTGATCTATCTCTCTTTTATTGAAGAGTGCTTTATCTTGTTTCCGGTTTAATCAATTATTAATGGTAAAGAGATTCTTCTTAATGTCAGTTAGCTGAGGGACTGGAATGCCAACCAGTTTTCTGACAAAAGAATATAGTATGTCCATTTATGTCAATAAAACAGTTATTTTCCAACTGCCTACAGTATCCTGAATCTCTCAATCATATTAGACTATCTAGTTCCATGAGAATTTGACTGTTTCAGTATAATATACTACATCTCTTTTCATTTATCAATATCATTTGGTATTAGATCTTTCAGTTTGATTCAAATGGATAATCTGAGGTTATAAGAGGATGTTGATCATCTTGATTGTCCAGACTATGAAGCACCATTGCGTGCATCTTTCTTGGTGCATTGGAATCTGTTAATCAATTTGATATCGTATAATACAAAGATCTTTGATGCAGATAAAGCCCTTCAAACTACGATTTAAATGCAAAGCCCAAATCCACCAGATGAATGATCCTGGTCCTGATCGTGAATTTCAAGTTGGAAACTCTGATGACTTGGTCAACTCTTCAGTAGAAGATTCAATCTGGTATGGAATGTTTAATATTCAGTTATTATTATGGAATTGTGTTGGTAATGGGTCAAAGTACAACCTTGGCTAGATAAAAAAAAAAAAAAGATAATAGATATACAAGTGAAGGACATCCTCTATGAGATCCCACATCGGTTAGGGAGGAGAACGAAACATTCTTTATAAGGGCGTAGAAACCTCTCTTTAGCCCATTTTAAAAACCTTGAGAGAAAATCTAAAGAGGACAATATCTACTAGTGGTGGGCTTGGGCCGTTACATTCTTTCTATTGATATGAAATCTCTGGAGTGAAATCAAAAGCAAAAATATGAGAGTTTATGCTCAAAGTAGACAATATCACACTATTGTGGAGATAAATGAAAAAAGAGTTTGTTGTCTATAATAAATTTTCATTCATTGTTCAAGAAAAATGATTGGTTAAGTATATTAGTATCGACATTTAATATGTCGGGTTAGGTATTAAAATGGTGCGTTGTCTGTGAGTGATTAGCTTCACTCTTGAATTGATTATTGCAGACATCAATAAAAGGAGGGTGCTATTGTTAAGAAATAACTCTAGTTTAAGAATAATATAAGCTCATAGACTCATATCAAGCCATGGACGACATTTTTAGTTTTATAAACCATGCTGATTTACTAATATTTTTCTTTAGAAGGCATTGGAGATCATTAAACTAAAAATTAAAAGAACCATGTTTTGGTGAAAGTATGTGCCAGATTAAGAGCTTTGATCCTTTTATGCAACAATATCAATACTTCATTCATAATTCCAGGTTTCAATGTCGACATGCAATCAAGGGGATAGCATTCAACAGACCTGATGAAGATTGAAAGTGCCGACTGACAAAGTTACAATGCAAGTAAACACTAACCTGTAAACTTGCAAATGAATTGCTTCTAATTGTATTTTGTAGGCCAAAAATCCTTGACCCTCGAGATCTTAGCTTTCGATATGCAGCAGGTGATCTGGACTAGGATTTACATCCTTTTAGCGATAATTTCAATGGTGGCGATTTAAGTAAACTTCTATATTGTCCTTCAGCTATTAAAATGGTGAATCTTAGTTAAGTCTTCTTACTTCCAAATATGCTAAGCTTTGTAATCTCAAATCGTGCTTTCTCTAACTTGGTCATAGTTGATCACCTCCAGTTTATTCTACCAAAAAAATTGTCCTTCGGATTTGGACGAGAGATGAGATTTAGATGAGGGGAGGCCTATAATCCTTGTAACCGACTCCATTTAGCTATTGGGAGGAATCTTTCTCTACTCCCTCCCCTATTCCTCGTGGGTCTGATCTTTAAATGGACATCTCTAGTTTAGTTTAAATGGGATCTCTAGTTCAACTTGTATGTTTTTAGTTGGTTGAATTTATATTATATGACTAAACAAAAGACATATTTCAAGTGAGAAAATGAGGTAAAATAATTGAACGAAAATTATATGGTCAGATTATCCACTATAACTTTTATAACTGTTACCTATGCTTCATCTACAAATTTAGATTTCTCAAAATGCACTAAAAAAAAAAAAGGTCCAAACTAAAAGAACAAAATCAAATACGGTTACACACAAAATTGTGCTTAAAAGTAAATCACCCCGAACTCAAATTCAACTAAAATTAAACTCTAACATTGATTTTTTTTTTCTTAAATTGTTAAATTTATATTAGAAATATATTTTATAATATATTTATATGTTATACAGTTTTTTTTTTTTTTTTTTAAATCAAAA